TGAAATATAATAAGAGAAATATGAGACTTTTATAAAATATTATTCTGTAATATCAAATCATCCAAACTTGAAATAAGTTGCAATAAAATTAATAAATGAATAAAGTGAGATAACGGAAAAGACGAGTAATGTAAATTATTAATGCCATAATATTACAATGACATAATAAAATAAAATTAATTAATTAATAAAATTAAATATAATAAAATTAATAAAATTAAATATATATTACATTAGTACATATAATATAATCGAACAACATTTATAATTTTAATAATTTTAGTTACGATTAAGAAGAAATTTCCATTAAAAGTCTTGAAATTGTACAATTAAATTAATTTGTAAAAACTTTTTGCAATTTAAAATTTAATCTTTGTCAACAATGTTAATTTTAAATTTTGCAAAAATTTTAAATTAAGCATTACACAACAATATTAATAATAATTAAATTAAAAAAATCACTAAAAAATAAAGAATTCTATCGTAACAAATATTTATTTATATTATTATTACATCTACAACTTAAAAAAAATTATTTAATATCCAATGAAACAATCGATCATTCACAAAATCTTACTATACTTCGTTATTGCTCTCAAGAAGATGTAATCGAAAAACAAAACTGAAAAAGAAATAAAAAGACAAATATGATAAAAACGCATAATAAAAAAAAATGCCAAAAAAAACAGCCACCAACTAAATGTATGAGTATCAGGAGAAAAGGAATTGAAGAAGGTTAGAGGAAAAGAGAATAGAGGAAGATTCCAAAGGAGAGGAAGAAAGACGAATCAACGGAGGACGAGATTCGTTAAAAAAGTAAGAAAGAGAGGAACAATATTTAAAGAGAAAGAGAGAAGATTGTTGAATGACAGAGATAAATAAACAAAAAAAAAGGAAAGAAAAAAAAGACAGGAAAAGAAAAAAACGACCTTGTTAAGTAGGAGGTGCGTGGCACGCATGGCGACGCAAACACAAGGCGTGGCTCAAAAGAGTCTCGACCCTATGTGTCTATCCCTGGTATCCACTGACACACGCACACCCACGATTGAAATGATCCACGACCCACGTTTATCCGCACATGTTACGTCATGTGAGCGAGTTGTATCTCGCAGCGGAATAATGAGTAAAATGTGAAAGAGCGCCGTGCTTGTGGAAGTGGGAGAACCGTCATGAGAATTCATTCGGTAGATCTGATTTCAACAGTTCACCGCGGGAATCGATTGTCGGTGTAGGCTTCATCGAGAAGTCTTTTTTCTCTTTTCTTTTTTTTCATTTTCATTTTTTTTTTACTTTCTTTTTTTTTTCTTTTGATTTCTTAGTTTTTTCTTCTTTTTATTTCATTCGTTTCGATTCAATTCGAGTTGGCATAAGCTGTATTGTTGGCTCGTGTAAGTAGCAGTGGCTGATAGATTTTTGGTTTTGTGAAAAAATCGAAGAGGAAATAAGAAATCGAAATTAATTTGACGGGCAGGTATGAGTGGAGACGAATGTGTCGATAGGTGAGTTTAGAGAATGATATTAATGGATGAAGTTTAGATGACATTGAAGTGATTCTTGGTTTAAAATTGATGTTAAATGAAAAGAGGTAAGATTTTGCGTGTTTGATTTGTTGATTACATGATGTGAGAAAGAGTGTTTGAGGATATGGAAGATAGGGAGAAGATGTTAGGTGTGATCGTTATGGAAGATATCTGCATTGATTGTTCATTGTTCATGAAAAAAAGCAATGAGTACTGATAGCTATTTAAATATGAGCTCGAATCCAAGAGAATATTTAAGTACATGAATTACTTGGCTATATCTTTTATACATGGTATAAAACATGGATTCCAATGAAGCTGTATCTATATAGAAATTTTTGTAACAGTATTTGCTTATTTGAATTATTATAAATATTATAAGTTCATAACATGGACTGAATTCAGAATTCATTCTTTATTTGAAGAACTCATTTTAATTCTAGCTATTTTTTATTTAATTCTATTTTTACCATTTGAAATAGCAATTCTTTTGTTATTTATTTATTTAAATCTTCCACATTGAAAAAAATATGAAATAATTTACATAATAATTTACATGATTTACTCATTTATTATTTCATTTATCATTTATTTGCTGCCAACATTTTATACACACAAAAACAAAATATATATTTTTATTATTAATATTGTTAATATTAAATTTAAAGATTTTATGAAATACCTTATTCTTTTTATAAAAATGTTATAAATCTATTAAATAGAAATATATACATACTATATGATATTAATAATAAATGATATAATATAAAGTATAACAAATATAAATGTTTTAATCAAAATAAATGATTTATATTGTTGTTTTAACATTGTACATTAAATGTTTTAACATTATAAAAAATAGGTTGAAAATTTGCATATTGCATTTGATATTATTATCATTTAAAGCTTAAAATAATTTAAATTCATATTAAAAACATAATATCTATTTATTATTACCTAATCTGTTTCTATATCTATTATATTATTCTATTATATTATACATGTTGCATATCATTGTTGCGAGCGTATTCTAATATTTCAATATGCAAGAATGCAATTCTTGGTCGTTCACATTAATAAATAAAAATAATAATAAAGGTGATACATTGCGTGGACATGCAACAAATGGATTTAGAATCATGAACTTTAGAAATTTATTTTTCTAAAATTTAACATTTTTCATTTATTTAAAATATTTAAAACTATGCTAATATTATTAATATATGCTATAAAATTAATATGAAATAATTTTATAAAATATATTTAAGTAATTTATTTAAGCAAAATATATTTAAAGTAATTTATTTAATTTTTAGATAATTTAATGAAAACAAATTTCATAAAAAGAAGTTAGAGGAAAATAGTCAAGTATAAAATAGTTTATCTAATATGGAATATTATTTATTTTTAAAAATTTGACAATCTTTCATATGAATATTTCATTTACTCACTTTAATACTATACAAATTATTATTCATTAAATAAGTGAATATTATCTATAATAAAATGTTCTGTAACAATAGTATTTCTTAAAATGTTACATATAAAATGATTTTACCGTTTAAAAATAATTGATTAAATTTACTAATTGAATAATATTTACTATATGTCAATATAGAGCTTGGAAATGAATGAATACAATTTAAATATATTATTTTATCATTTATCTTATTATAAAGCAATAAATCATATATATTCTAATGAATTTATATTATATTTCAACATTAAATTCGAATATCAATTTCTTATACAAGTTTAAAATTTAACATAATATATAAAAAATTTCTGTTAAAATTAATAAAAATTTCGAAAAAAAAAGAAATACATTAAAGAGAGAAATAATCTTTTATTATTATAAAAAATTATAATTCATTCAAACATAATCATAAAAAATAAAATAAAAATTGTTAAAAACAATCAATTAAATTAATCAAAGCAATTAATTGTAATAATTCTAATTTTGTTTTCTGTTGCAAGAATAAAATATAAATATATTAAATTGATTAAATTAAATTTTGATTTTCAATAAAGTTTCAATAAATGTCAATAATCTTATTAAGAATTTGATCATTTTATTTGGATCAACATAATATTATTCAATAACTTTTGTCTAAATTAATAAAGTTTTTTGTATTTATTTTTTATTATTTATCATACTTATTTATGTTTTTTGTGTTGCTGATATATTTGCCTGTGATGATCGTAAATATTTATAAGTTAAATATCGTGTTTTTAAAATTCCAAATATGAAAATCCAATGATAATTCAATTATAGAATTTCTATATTTAGATTACTTTTTTTGATAAGTTGTCTTATTTATTCAATATCATAAAAGCAATTAAATTAGCTATACACTATATAACTTCATATAAAAACTAAACTGAAAGCTGAAAATGGATGAAAAACAAAATAGAAAATAAAAAAGTTAAGAAACAAGAACAAAAAAATTTATTATTCAAAACAAAAGAAAAATAAGAAACAGGATTGATTATTTCGACAATTCTGATATGATAAAAATAGATATGATATTCTAATGATAAAAATAGAATTCAAATCGATATAGATAGTAAACTTGATATTACGATCAATCAATTCCTGATTATGAATGTAGAATATCTATTTCGAAGAATTTTTTTACAAACAAAAACACTGTGAAAAGATATAGATATAAAATGTTTAATATACGCATGACGAATATATTGATAGAGAGTTTAATACTTTATTTATAACTATTATAAATAGATTTTTTAATGTAATTCTTTCAAAATGTGATTTTTTAATTAAAAAAAGTATAACGAGAATACAATCACTTTTCATTTTTATGAAAACATTGTACGTGCTTAATGTTGGTGTTCCAATTTTAAATATCTATTTCATATTAGGAACAATTTATATTTTTTTTAAATGTTAATTTAATATTTAAAATTGTTCAATATTGAAAACATAAAACTAGTTTTAAATAATAATAATAGAGCAAAAATGCCAATAAAAATCTTTGTTGCGATTGATTTTACAAAAATGACATTCGAAAAATGAAATAGTATTTAAATTATATTTAACTACTTTCTTTTAGAAAATATTCATTTATAACGTGGAGGATCGTTTGAGTTTTTAAGAAACATATATCATCTAAAATTTGAATTTTATATAGCAAACTAATTCCTTCAATACTAAATATTAACATACATATATATACTTCCAAAACAGTAAAAAATGGTTAAGACAGCACTAACAAAAAATCACATTATTCGTTCAATCACAATTTACTTATTTCACTGTAAAATATCACGAGCACAGCATGCAAAGTCGTTCAAACTTCAACGCACAGTCGTATGATTTATCAGGCGAAGGTTCGCATATTGCGAACACCATATCTGTGTACAGTTTTTTCCCGCTTATTGCTGGCCGACGGAATATTCGCGCAGAAAGGGCGCGAAAATGGAAGTGGAAATTTATACGAGGTTGTATCTGTCTTTCAGGGATTGTGGTGTCGAATGCAGGAGCTGGTGGCGTGCCAGTCGGGATCGCGGTGGCCAGACAGAGATTGCAGCACCAGGAAACATCCACTTCGATGCGCAATGTTTCTCTAAGTCATCACACTTCGCATCATGCGAGTTATCATCACTTCCAACCTGACAATCTAGGTAAGTTTTTATGATTTTTCGAAGATTTCCTCTTCCTATGTTATACAAAAAATTCTTCAAAAAGCTTATGAAAAATCTTCAATCTATTTGAGTTTTGCTTTGATTTTTTAAATTTTTTACAGTTTTTAAATTTTTACAGAAAATTATATTTCTGTTTGTAATGTTTGATTTGCAAAAAAATAAAAATAAGATCTGGGATGCCCAAAATTTTTTTGATAATTGAAATCGCATATCTAATGCGAATAAAAATTTTTGATAAGTCTTCTTTTTTTAAATTTTTTTATATACAATCAATTTCATATCTTTTAATTATTTATAAAACTCTTTTCAATTTATAAAATTATAAATAATTTTTAATTCTATATATACATATATATTATATTGTAATATAAATTGTTTTCATATTATTTTAAAATTATAATAATTTTTTATTATCAATTACATATTATATAAAGAAAAAAAAATTGAAATAATTTATTATTGATAAAAATATTACACAGAAAACTTTCCTAATTTCGCCAATTAAAAATCTGTTTCGATATTATTAATAAATATTTATTTCCTTTGCTTAAAAAAAAGCAAATATTATGTATAATGAAATATTTATATAAAATAATATATTCTAAGATATAGAAATAATAAAGTCATTAAAAAATGATTTTATAATGTAAAATAAAAAAGGCAAACATTGTATATAATGAAATATTTATATAAAATAATATATTCTAAAATATAGAAATAATAAAGTTATTAAAAAATGATTTAATAATGTAAAATAAAAAAAGAAACAGTACAAATAAGATCATTGCTTTCAATATTACTATGCAGTGGAAAAACAAAATGCGATTCTTCCTTGAGTTTTTGAAAATGAAACCATAATATCGTTTCAATGAAATAATTATGATGATTAAATATTGTAGTAAAAAAAATATGTACACAATAAATAAAGGGCTGAGAACTATAGAATAATATTTTCGAAAAAATTAAACAATGTAAAAAACATTTTCCTTGTGTTGTTTGTATCATTAAGAAGCAAACGATATCATAAAACTTGGTCATTTCGCAAAATCAAAATTTGGATAATCAAAACCAACCCAAAAAAAAAATATTAGGGAAGATAGTAATTTTTTTTTTTTTTTAAAGAGAGAGAGAGNAGAGAGAGAGAGAGAGAGAGAGAGAGAGAGACAGAGAGATAGAGACAGAGACAGAGACAGAGACAGAGTGAAAGAGAGAGAGAGAAAGAGAGAAAGAGAGAAATAGTATTCATTATCAAAAAAATTATCAAACAGAAACAATTAAAGAGAATTTATCGATAAAAATAATATCTTTTTCAGAAAAATCGAATAGAATATTTTTTAAAATATGAGAAACATATAATAAAAATCCGAAATGTATTATTTCTAAAATAACTAAAAATTTTTTAATTTTGTTACAACCATATATTATTCTCATTTGCATTCTGAATTCATCGATAAAAATTTATTCAATTTTTATAAAAAGTCAAAAATAATTAATATTTTTGTTGTTAGATTCTAATGATAACAAAATATATATTTTATTATATTTACATATTTATGTATAGATACAAAATGTTTTTGCTTTTTTAGCTTAATAATGTTACATTTCCATGTGAAACAAAACATCTCATATATAATACATTATTATTATTCTATATACATTTTTAGAGATATCATTATTCAAATTTAGTGCAATAAAATCTTAATTCAATGTTGAAAATGTTAACAAATCAAGTTTTTAAATGATTACTAAAACACAAATTTAATTTATAGTTCTTTAAATTAAAAAAATTGATGTAAATCCTAAGAATAATTCTCTTTTTTTTTTAAATCATAAAATAAAATATTATATGAAGAATGCTAAAATTATTAATTTTTTTTCTAAAGAAAATTATTAATATTAATTGTATATTATTTAGTAAAAAAATTTTAAAGATCAATTATAATCCTAATTATTTTTTATTATAATTTTATTAATATTAAAATTATATGATTTCATTTTATCTCATTTTATGTATATGAAACCAAAATCAAGAATTGCCGTAGCATTTTCTACTGTAACTTTTATCCGCTTTTGATACGCAATAATGCTCAGGGTCAACTACATTCGCATATATGAAACCACAGAGAAAAACTCATTCTAGGCTAATTACTTTTCATACCTGTCTGATAGTGCGTTGGTTGTATATTGTTCCGTGTATCATGCTTAAGGCGAATCCATTGCGTCACCATATCTTATAACGATATTCTTTTCATTAACACTCATATTTTATACTAAAAGCCACATTCGATTATTATATTAATAAGTTACATTCAACAAAATTCGACAGAAAAGAGAATTATTTTTATAGAAACAATATTTTTTTGAATTTTTCATTTCAATGAAAAGAGAATATCTGAATAAATAAATTTTATACATTTATCGAAATTAGAATACCAAGGTGAATAGTAACTGAATCGTAAGCTGAATTTTGATGGTAATTAATCTTTAAGTGGTAAAATTGAATCTCAAGATTTCAGAAATTTATATTTTTATAATAATAATTCAAAAAATATGTTTTGTGAAACATTTACTATTATTATTTTATATTTTTTATTAAAAATATTGTATATAATAATATTAAAAATAATATTTTCTATTAAAAATGCAATCTAATTTCTAAGTTTAATTTTTAATTTCTAAAAAAAGTAATAAATATATATTATCCATAATAATTTCTTTATTTTTTTTAATTATTTTTAAAATTTTAAATATTTCTGTAAAATCTTCAATTTTCTTCTGTATAACTTCGATTATAATATCTATATAATAATATGATTATCACATATAAGTTAATAATGGTTATAAATATTTTCTATATACATTAATAATGTTTATAAATATTTTCTATTTCTATGTTATTTATAGAATTAATTAATAATACATCAAAATTTTGAAAATTATGTTAAATAATATAAAGAAATATAAATATTCATAGAATATCTCAAATCTTATATTTGGATAAAAATTTAATTGAATTATATAAGTTTTTTAAGTAGGAATCTATATTACAAAAATATGTTAAATGAAATATTGTTTCATTATATTGTATTTCTGTAAAGATTAATGATATATTTAACAATAATGTAATTAATAATATTAAAAAAAATCATAATATAGAATATTTTATTCTCTTTCATCTAATAAGAAATTTTTTTTAAAAATCTGATATGTATACAATGATTTATTGTTAGTACTTGAACGCTTATTTACAGAATACTTTTATGAATATAATATACTTTTCAAAATATTAACATTAACATATATATGACTTAATATTTTAATATTATTAAAATTATTAAGTTTATCAAATATATTATTAAAATTATTAAAATTATTAAAATTATATAGATAAAATGTATAAATGTGAAACAAATTCGAAACAAAAAATATACGTATGAGAATTTCTTATAAATACTTCTCGCTATACATATAGCCACAAAAGATATATATAAATAATATATATAGATAACATATTTGTGGAACACTTTTGGAAAATTGATTGGATAAACAGAAAGAAATAGAAAAGTTGCTATATAAAAATATTGATTAGCGCTTATTTATTAAATTATAAACGATATAAATTTAAATTTGTTAAAAATAGAGATAAATCATTTTTATTCTTCATCTATTTTCATCATATTATTTTCATCATATATCTCTATCTTGCTTTATTTAAATAAAACTTAAATTATTTATAATTCAATAAATAAGTCTTAACCTTAATATTTGTGTATATCAATTTTTTGTTTTTGTTTTAGCTTTAGAATTGACTTTCCAAAATTATTAAATATATTAACGTATTCTACGAAGATATATCATTAATATTCTATATATAAATAAATTAGTTTTAACAATTAAAAAAAACAATTAATTGTTTTTTTTAATGTAAATGTCTTATTGTTTTGAAATCAATCAAATTAGAACTAAAAAATAATATAGAGAGATAATCATACATCAATAGATTTTTATGTAAAAGAATCAAAAGAACAAACCAAAAATTGAGGGATAAAAATTAAACATATTTTAATCAAATTATATAAAAACAATGATATAAATGTTTGTATTTTTTTATGATATATTAGTAATAAGACATTAAATAAATCTTTAAATATTTTCTTCCTATATGAACTTTCATCTGTCTTTTTTATTTTTTTAAACGTTTAATTCATTTAATTTTCTTACAAGTAAATTAAAATTTTACATTAAAAGTAATTTTTAAAGTTCTAATTAATCTCTTATTATATCTATTTATACTAATTTTTTTAAAAAATTTCTTATATAGATAATTTTATTTTATCTTTATTATATCGAAATTATAGAATAATTTGATAATAAAAGACAAAACATTAATTTAATAATCCTAATTAATTTATTTTTTATCCTACAACAAAATTAAATATTTTTATAAACATTTAATAATTTTTTGAGTCATTTTCATCGTTACAAACACATAACAATTTTCCTTCGTTACACAGCTGCCTTACCTGTAGAATATTAGATTCTATTTCCACACGGTTGCCTACGCACACGAGATAAGCGTTATCGAATATATCTTATGGCTGTTTTCATTTGAAGCAATGCTGCAGTCATCAGCATTCCTAAAGCGAGCTGAAACATCTGGACGGAATATTAACGAAGGACAGCGAAGGGCTTCTTCGAAAATTCCTCTTCCGCCGTCCGAAGGGTACGAAACTGATCATCCTTCCACGCGTCAAGATCCAAGAGATCCGGGTGAAATTTCGTTCGCGATCATATAATATTTCTTTCAGAATATTTCATATATTTTTCTTTTTGATGAATAAAATAAATATTAGGAATTTTTATTTATAAAGTTGATTTTTATTATTATTTATTTTTATTTATAGTTATTTTTAAATATTTTTCTTCTAATGTTTTTTTTATAGAGTGGATGTTCTTAACAAATTTTATATTTATAAAAT